AGCACCCCGCAAGCGCCGCACGCCCGGGGCCGGGGCTTCCCCCCCGCAAGCGCCGTGCCATGTGTCCGGGACCAGGCCAGCCCCGAGCACCTGGCGGGCGCATGCAAGTGCCCCCGCGGGCACCGTGTTGGGGACCACGGCTCTAGTGCATACCAGAGGACAGCCGCTGCGGGCAGCTCCACCAGGACTTCACAGGGTTTCTTTGCTTTAACTCAGGGGTGAGGGAAGCCTTTTTTGGGTTGGGGACTGCTGACCCACAGGAAAATCAGTCCAAGGCCAGTCCATGGGAAGGCAGCTGGGGGCTGGAGTGCCAGCTCTAGCTCCCTAATGCTGGAGGGAGAGCCCTGAACCTCAGGAGCTGGATTCAGGCAAGCTGGGGGCTGCATGTGGCCCCTGCACCTTAGGTTTCCCACCCTGCTTGAAGTATTTTCAAAGGATGTTACTCTGGAGTCAGGTGAAGGAGGGGGATATTAGAATGACAGAGAAGACTCTTGATCTTTTGGAAAACAATAGACAAAGTAACATTTGTTCCCTCAAATATCATTTGGTTGTATGAAGGCAGAGTAGGAGGAGACCTTGTTCCAGTACATTACATCACCTGGGTTGGAAACCATTGTATCTCAGCACTTGCGGTCACATACCCATGCAGTGCTGCCTGTGGAAAATACTTTGGTGAATTCAAATTGCTGGAGATGTGAGTATTTGTCATACAAGATCAGCAGCGTCTGCCTGGCAGTGCCCACTGACTTGTGCACTGCCTTCTCCCAATGAGGAGAGCACAGAGCACAAGTCACCATTTGGTATTGGGGAGGGCAGCATGCCTGCATAATTACATGCAGGGCAGCTGAGCTCAAAACAGTAAGCAGAGCAGTCACTGCAGGCATTGTGGGATACTGGAGGAGGCCAGTTCTGGCAATATATTGAAAAGTAGCATCTACACCAGGGCTAGTCTACTTTGGAAGCCCCGGGGGCTACAATGATACTCACAGCACATGCCGAAGGCCACAATTTAAGTGTGGTTGCATATACATGCAAATAGCTTATTTCACACTGACAGGCATGAATACAATGCATTTCCCACCATGCCCTGGCACTCCTGGCACCTCCTCTCTGGGGGCTAGAAATGCCGACACCCTGAATCCACTTGTTGCGGCCAGCCTATATGCTTGCATCTTTCAGTGCTCACCCCACCTGGGAGATGCCTCGCCATCATGGAGCGTGTTCCCAGTGGAGGCCATGTTCAAAGGATCCCACATGTGGAGTAGAATCATAGAATCACAGAACTGGAAGAGACCTCAGGAGTCATCAAGTCCCCTGCCCAAGTCAGGACCAATCCCAACAAATCAACCCAGCCAGGGCTTTGTCAAGCCGAGACTTAAAAACCTCTGGGGATGGAGATTCCACCACCTCCCTAGGGAACCCATCCCAGCGCTTCCCCACCCACCTAGGGAAATAGCTTTTCTTAATATCCAACCTAGACCTCTCCCATTGCAACTTGAGACCATTGGTTCTCGCTCTGTCATCTGTCACTCCTGAGAACAGCCTCTCTCCATCCTCTTTGGAACCCCCCTTCAGGGAGTTGAAAGCTGCTCTCAAATCCTCCCTCACTCTTCCCTTCTGCAGACTAAACAAACCCAAATTCTTCAGCCTCTCCTCGTAGGTCATGTGCTCCAGACCCTGTATCATTTTGGTTGTCCTCTGCTGGACCCTCTCCAGTGCGTCCACATCCTTTGTACAATGGGGGGCCCAGAATTGGACGCAAATATTCCAGATGTGGCCTCACCGCTGCTGAATAAAGGGGAATAATCACTTCCCTAAATCTGCTGGCAGTGCTCCCACTAATGCATCCCAATATACCGTTAGCCTTCTTGGCTACAAGGGCACCCTGTTGATTCATATCCAGCTTCTCATCCACTATCATCCCCAGGTCCTTTCCTACTGAACTGCTGCATAGCCATTTGGTCCCCTGCCTGTAACAATGCTTGGGATTCTTCCGTCCCAAGTGCAGGACTCTACACTTGTCCTTGTTGAACCTCATCAGATTTCTTTTGGCCCAATCCTCTAATCTGTCCAGGTCACTCTGGACCCTCTCCCTGCCCTCCAGCATATCTACCTCTCCCCCTAGCTTAGTGTCATCCGCAAACTTGCTGAGGGTGCAATCCATCCCCTCATCCAGGTTATTAATAAAAATATTGAACAAAACCGGTCCAAGAACCGATCCTTGGGGCACTCCACTTGATACTGACCGCTAACATGACATCAAGCCGTTGATCACTATCCGTTGGGCCCGACACTCTAGCCAGCTTTCTATCCATCTTACAGTCCATTTATCCAATCCATACTCCCTTAACTTGCTGGCAAGAATATTGTGGGAGACAGTATCAAAAGCTTTTCTGAAGTCAAGATATATCACATCCACTGACTTTCCCATATCCATAGAGCCAGTTACCTCATCATAGAAGCTAATCAGATTGGTCAGGCACGACTTGCCCTTTGTGAATCCATGTTGACTATTCCTGATCACTTTTCCCTCTTCCTAGTGCTTCAAAATGGATTCCTTGAGGATCCTCTCCATGATTTTTCCAGGGACTGAGGTAAGGCTGACTGGTCTATAGTTCCCTGGATTGTCCTTCTTCCCTTTTTTAAAGATGGGCACTACATTTGCCTTTTCCAGTCATCCAGGATCTCTCCCAATCTCCACGAGTTTTCAAAGATAATGGCGAAAGGCTCCACAATGACATTTGCCAACTCCCTCAGTACCCTCAGATGCATTAAATCGGGGCCCATGGATTTGTGTAAGTTTAGCTTTTCTAAATAGTTCCTAACTTGTTCTTTCCCCACCAAGGGCTGTCCAGCTCCTTCCCATACTGTGTTGCCTAGTGAATTTGTCTGGGAGCTGACCTTGTCCATGAAGACAGAGGCAAAGAAAGCATTGAGTGCTTCATCTTTTCCCACATCATCTGTCACTAGGTTACCTCCCTCATCCAGTAAGGGCCCCACAACCTCTCTGATAATCCTCTTATTGCTAACATGCCTTTCTTGTTGCCCTTCACATTCCTTACCAGCTGCAATTCCAATTGCACTTTTGCCTTTCTGATAACTCCCCTGCATTCTCAAGCAATATAATTATACTCCTCCTTAGTCATCTGTCCAAGTTTCCACTTCTTGAAAGCTTCCTTTTTGTGTTTAAGCTCACCATAGATGTCCCTGGTAAGCCAATCCGGTCGCCTGCCATATTTGCTTTTCTTGCTGAACATCGGGATGGTTTCTTCCTGTGCCTTTAATAAGGCTTCTTTAAAATACTGCCAGCTCTCCTGGACTTCTTTCCCCTTCATGTAAGCATCCCAGGGAATCCTGCCCATCAGTTGTCTGAGGGAGTCAAAGTCTGCCTTTCTGAAGTCCAGGTTATGTATTTTGCTACTCTCCTTTCTTCCTCTGGTCAGGATCCTGAAATCTACGGAGAGGGTCCAGAGAAGAGCAACAAGAATGATTAAAGGTCTAGAGAACATGACCTATGAGGGAAGGCTGAAGGAATTGGGTTTGTTTAGTTTAGAAAAGAGAAGATTGAGGGGGAACATGATAGCAGTTTTCAGGTATCTAAAAGGGTGTCATAAGGAGGAGGGAGAAAACTTGTTCATCTTGGCCTCTGAGGACAGGACAAGAAGCAGTGGGCTTAAACTGCAGCAAGGGAGGTTTAGGCTGGACATTAGGAAAAAGTTCCTAACTGTCAGGGTGGTCAAACACTGGAATAAATTGCCCAGGGAGGTTGTGGAATCCTCATCTCTGGAGATATTTAAGAGCAGGTTAGATAAATGTCTATCAGAGATGGTCTAGACAGTATTTGGTTCTGCCATGAGGGCAGGGGACTGGACTCAATGACTCTCGAGTTCCCTTCCAGTCCTAGTGTTCTATGATTCTATGAAAATCCTGCCAGCTCTCCTGGACTCCTTTCCCCTTCATGTTAGCATCCCAGGGAATCCTGCCCATCAGTTCTCTGAGGGAGTAGCCATGATCTACATTGATGCTTTGTCACTTTAAACTTCACTGCTGAAATATTTATGCCTCTTTTCGACCTGGTTTAATTTTGTCAGTAAAACAGCAGTTGTGCCACCCAGAGTAGCACTGTAGCATGTACACTCCACTGGTTTGTGAGCAGAAGCTGTTTTTGTTGACAAAGCTGTGTAGTGTAGACAAGGCCTAAGTCAGGTTTTCAAGGTGATTTATGACTTTAAATGTCAATGAAAGTGAATGTGATTTAGGGTCCTAGGTCAGTGGGTGCTTTTGAAAATACATCCCTTGTCTTTACTCTTTTGTATTAGCTTGTTTTTGGTACTGGGACATCTTGGTGCATCACAGAGGCATGTGGTGCATTTATTGCAAACAAATATCTTTCTCTTTGAGGTGTGGGTAATTCTGGGTTTTTTAATTTATTCTTTGAATTTGTGCTCACTAGCTTTTAAATTTGTATACATTTTATCTGTATTGGGATCTGTCTTTGATATTTGGGTTATATATTATGTCAAGTGCATATATCTTTGAGGCTTAAAGGGTTTTTCTCATCAGACCCTCAAAAACAACAACAACAACAAAAAACATGGTGGGGTAGCGGCAGAAAACTGCCTATGTTTTTATGTGCCAAATTGCAAACTGTATTTATGGGCTTGTTTACACTAAAAATGCAAATTTGGTCTTTAAACACAGTTAATATGCTACTGACCCTCTGTGTTTCAAGTTTGGGTCGCATGGTGTGTTTGCATCATTCAAAGTGATTATTAAATCAGGAAAGAAAAAAAGACTCTGTAGAAAAGAAAACTTCAAGGAAGTTTAGATGTTGTATTGACTTAAAGGCCTTTCTTTTGTTTCAGCTCTTTGTCCAAATGTCATAAATCAGCGACATCTAGGCTCTCTGAAATATCTCTTCTACAAGAGGTTTGTTGAGGTATGTTTGTACAATGTGAGTGTCGGTTTATTTTTGTCATGATTAGAAAAATATAATAGAGATGATAGAAATGTGAGTGTGGTGTTCAAGAAAGTGTAGTCTTGCTGTAGTGATACAAAAAGGCACTGAAATCATTGTTCCCTGAAAACTGAACACTTTGGCAGGTGCCCAGGAGAGATTCAACTGCTGCCAAAATGATTAGCAGAGCACCCACAGCCAGCAGCATATGTTTTCACCGGTGGTGCACATATGTACATGCTTTGGTGCATATAATAACATTTATTCTGCACACGATGTAAAAAAATAAAGAGAACATTGATTAAGACTCAGAAATCTCTGAAGTGAGTCCATGGACCGAGACATTCTAGACTGATAACTGTAATTCCAAATTATGGGTATATTTTATTAAACTGTGTTGTAAGGGACCTTCTTTGTCTTACAAGCCTCAGGATTTTTCCCTTTTGCAAGATGGGCCTGGGATAGATCAACCCATATCTGACATGCTGGGTAGTCTTTACCCTAGCAGGTGTTCAGGCGTGGCTGTTTCCCCTGAGAGAAGAAACACAGCTTCACCTCCTGGAGATGCTTAAATCCTTGCTGCCACAAGCCTAGTAACAGCTTGTCTCCATCTTTCACTCCTCCTCCATTCTTTCAACAAGGGAGGGGCTTTAAAAAGGTCTCAGGTGGTCTTAATTAGATTCAGGTGGTGCTAATTAACCTGAGGTAACCCCTTCTCAGCTGAGCCTGACTGACTGTAGTAGCCTCTTCTCAGCTGATCCTAATTGACCTGAGATAACATGTTCTTGGCTGGTAGGGAAGAGGGTCTTTAGCATGCTGGGGCTTACATCTCTGCCTTCCCTGACCCTCTTGCAGCTGGCTGGCCTGACTTTGGCCAAGTGTACACTGGCAAGTGACTGCGCAGTAAATAAGCTCCCCCGAGGTGTCCATACTGGCCAAGCACCTAGTGCGCACTAGCTCTTCACTTGCTATGCTCCGAGTCATTGTATCCCAAGTGGTGTTCAGTGTATCCCCCGAGGTTCCGCGAGTAAAAATAAGGGTTCCGTAAGAAAATTCCATTCCAATCGCTTTTTATGATTACTTTATGATTACAAGAAATAATAATTAATATTATGTTATTTTCATTTTTAAATGTGTGCAATTAAACTAAATGTTGAGCTCGTGACCTTGTTTAGCCTTTGTTTATTATTATATTTACTACTTTGTGGTCTACTTTTTCAGCCCTATATTGTTGTTGTTAGTTGTCTCTTGGGAGCCGAGGAAGACATGTTGGGCATTTCATTTGTGGAAACGCATGTGGCTCTGGAGCCCAAAGATCGAAGCAGACATGTGGTTACAGATAGGGCATGGGACACCGATTGTCAGGACAGGAGAGAACGCAGCTCTATGTTGTCTTTCATGTGCAGCAGCGAGGCGTTGGTGGCGGTCGTCCTCAAACTTTGTCACTGCTTTCCTCGTAAGAGAACGCTAATTGGTCCTTTCTGCAGCAGCTAGTTCAAATTGTCGAGGTTGAAGGCCTGTCCACTGCAAGTTGGTCTGCAGGTTGTCCTTATACCTCTTCCTCGGGCATCCCTGTTTGCGACTACCACGTACCAGCTCCCAGTAGAACAGCTGTCTCGGGATCCTGCTTTCGTCCATGCGGAGAACATAGCCAGACCATCGAAGCTGGGGCTGGAGGATCTTGGCTTCGATGCTTGTGGAACTAGTTCTATCAAGCACTTCTTGGTTAGTAATTTGGTCCTGCCAGCATACTCGCATGAGTGATTGTAGGGAGCGCATGTGAAACTACTCCATCCGCTTGATGTGCCTACGGTACACGGTCCATGTTTCATAGCCATACAGGAGAGAGGTGAAGACCATGGCATTATATACCTTGAGTTTAGTTGAAAGGCGAATATCTTTGGGCTGGAGAACTTTAATACGCATCTCCCAAGTGCCTGACTGGCTTTCTGGATCCTTGCTGTAATCTCTTTGTCAAGGGATCCATCACTTGATATTGTATTGCCCAGGTACTTAAAGCTGTCCACTACCTTCAGTTGTGTGTCATCGATAGTGATGCATGGCTGTGGAGGAGCACTGTTTGGTGCGCTTTCCGAGGCTAATTGCGAGACCAAACAGTTTGGATGCTTCAGAGAATCTGTCAGTGATGGTCTGCAGGTGTTTCTCTTGGTGTGCCATTAGGGTGCAGTCATCAGCAAACAGCGCTTCAGTGATAAGCCTCTCCAGTGTCTTGGTCTTTGCAGTAAGGAGTCTCAAATCAAACAGTGAACCATCCAAACAGTATCGGATGTAAATACCAAGATCTGGGTCTCTGACAGCATGCATGAGGACTTGAGTGAAGAACAGGTTAAAAAGCACCGGGGCGAGTACACAGCCCTGCTTCACGTCATTGGAGATTTTCAATTTCTCAGCTGGCACACCATCCGAGAGTACCGCTCCTGTCATGTCGTTGTGAAACAGCTTGATGAGTGAGATGAACTTCGGTGGACAACCCAGCTTCCTGAGGATGATCTAACAATGCATCTCTGTTAACCATGTCGAATGCCTTCATCAGATCAATGAAGACAGAGTACAGGTTCATATTCTGCTCAAAGCACTTCTCTTGCACCTGTCTCATTACAAAGATCATATCGACAGTACGGCGGAAGTCACACTGTGACTTGGGGAAACTCACTTCTGAAACTGTCAAAATCAGCCTGGTCAGGATGATGTGGGCGAAGATTTTCCCAGCAACAGAAAGCAGCGAGATACCTCTGTAGTTCCCGCAGTCAGCTCTTGCACCCTTATTTTTGAACAAAGCAACTATCACGGCATTACGGAGGTCAGATGGCATTTCTTCCTCTTCCCAAATACTGGTCAAGACATTATGAAAAACCTTAAGTGACTCCCCATTAAATGCCTTGTACAGTTCTGCGGGAATTCCATCTTTGCCGGATGCCTTGCCGCAACTCATCTGCCTGATGGCCTTTCTAACTTCGTCAATAAATGGAGGCTCTCCCAGGTCTTCAAGGGTTGGCTTCTGAGGGATCTGTTCCAGTGCTGACTGATCAACTGATGATGGACGATTCAGGAGCTGACTGAAATACTCTTTCCATTGGTTAGTGATGCCAGCCTTATCCTTGATCAACGTGGCTCCATCTGCAGACAACAAGGGGGCAGAGCCAGACTTGGAAGGACCAAAGACTGACTTGATGGAACTGAAGAACTCTCTTGGGTTGTTTAAGTCAGCATAGTGTTGCACTTTTCAGCTTTCTTCTTCCACCACTGATCGTGCATTTTGCGGATTTGTTGCTGGGCCTGGAGGAACTTAAACCTGTCTTTCTTAGAGATGGAGCCTGGGTTATTCTGCCACTCCATAAATGCCTTGTTCTTCTTGGCAAGCAGGTCCTCAATAGCACTGTTGTTCTCATCAAACCAGTCTAGATGATTGCATTTCTTGGGACCAAGCACTGACTTGTCTGTCTCCATCATCACTTCTCTAAACTGGTTCCACTTCTGAATTGGACCGCCAATCAATGGTCCACTGGCAGTCAACTTTTCATCAAGGCTTGACTGGAACTTGTGCAGGTGAGATGGCTGCTGGAGTCTGGCAATGTTAAAGGCTGTTCGGATGCGCTTTGGGTTATGCTGAGCAATGTGTATTTTGAAAATGGTGTGGACAAACCTATATTCAGTCCAGCACTCTGCTCCTTGCATGGCTCTGGTGATAAGGACATCCTGAATATCACGCTGACGAACAATGACATAATCTATCATGATCCATTGTTTTGATCTAGGGTGCATCCAAGTAGTCTTGTATTTGTTTGCCATCCTAAACACTGTGTTCGTGATGAGGAGGTCATGTTCTGCACATTTTCTCAGCAGCAATAAGCCGTTACTGTTCATTTGACCAACACCCTGTTTGCCTAACCCTAACCCTCCTATCAACTGTGGTCGCAGCCAACTCGGGCGTTGAAGTCTCCCAACAAGGCCTCAGCACACAGTCATCAGTGCATACACTCCCACCATGAACAGCACAGAGGAGACAATTGAGCAGTTTTACATCGACCACAGTTCCGTTCTGTGCTCAGTGCCGGCCAACACTGAGCCGGCACTGAGCACAGAACGGAACTGTGGTCGATGTAAAACTGCTCAATTGTCTCCTCTGTGCTGTTCATGGTGGGAGTGTATGCACTGATGACTATTGCATACCGCTTGTGACTAAGGGGCAGGTGTAGCTTCATGAGCCTCTCGTTAATACCGACAGGTGGGTCCGAAAGTTGTTTCATCAGACTAGTCTTGACAGCCAGGCCGACTCCATAGATCCTACCCTCATTCTGCGCTTTCTCTTTCCAGAAGAAGGTGTAACCACTAGCTAGTTCAGTGAGAAATCCTTCTTCAGCAAGCCTGGTTTCACTCAAGGCAGCGATATCAATACCATAGTATGAAAGCTCTTTAGCAACTCGGGCTGTTCTCCGATGAGGTCTTACTGTGTCCTCACTGTCCATGAGCGTATGGACGTTCCATGCTCCCATTACCAGGTTATTTTTTTTTCACAACATAACCTGTGCGTGAAGAATATTATAGTGGGAAAGCCTTTGTACAGAGATGATCCCACTTTCTCGGCCTCAAAAGTTGGAATCCAGTGGCACGAGACAATTGTTGCTTCTGGAGACTACCTCGGCTGCATTGGATGGCTATGTCACCTTAAATGCTCTGACATGCCCTATGCACTCCATAGTGCGCTGCTGCAATGCCGCCTTAGCTGTTGAATCATAAGGATTTCCTCCGCCTGATCCATCAAAGCAGTCTTCGCATGCTAGGATGAGAGTCCCTAACTCATCGAGGGTTTCATATCCATCAGCTACCCTCACCTGGTTTAGCTGGCCTGTCAAAGCTGTTGCCCGGGGTGTGGCCATTGCCGCATACAAAGCCACTCCCGAAGAAGTGCAACAAAAGCTCCTTTAGAGGTACTACCATGCAACCCCATACACCCTCAGCTCCATATATCAGACTATTAGGGATTCCACAAATTCTTTTGAGTTTAAAAGAGTTCCGTGGCCAAATCACATTGGGAAACACTGCTCTAGGTAAACCCCCTTGAGAGAAGTATGAGCTGGGGCCGTGTGGAAACTTGAATTGTTATATTCTGACTGGCTTCCAGAAATCCCGCACGTTCCCTCAGCACTTTGGAACTCACTTGGCTGTCCTGCAGGCATGCACCTGTGTCCTTTCAGAGCTCCGTTTGGGACAGTCTGCATGCTGGGCCGACCTGCCTTGGAAACAGAGCCAGCTAGTCAGAGGCAGGCATCTGTGTGTGTGTGTGTGAGAGAGAGAGACTGTGCAAAGAATTGGGGAGGGAGGAGGCCTGCTGAAATGTCAAGGTTTCCCCCTCCTCCTGCCTCAGGAGGGATTGTTTCCTGCTGCTGCCTGAACTTACAAGATGACATGGTGACCTCCCCCAAAACACTCAGTCTCCGCCCCACGTACACGTGTACACACACACAGATGCACACACACACAGATGCATGCTCACACTCCCTGCCCTGCCTTCTGGTCTTCCCCGACTTCTGTTGAAAAGCAGCTGTCAGTGTAGCAGGATGGAGCAGTGGGATTGGAAAACCTGCGTCATGTGATGCTGCCTGCCCGTGCAGCATTGCAAACCCTTCCCAAAGCACGCTACGGCCAGTTGCACAGTAAGATAGCTCCCACAATGCACTGCTTTCTGGGGCATGGCAAGAGCCGCTTACATGGACAGCTCCCCTGTCACAAGTGGACACATGACAGTGGTTTCCCTGCAGCGCAGTGTGAGCAGCACTGTAACAACCAGTACTTTCCATAATACAGTCCACACTTTTTGTTTGTCTCTAAGGTGCTGCAGGACCATTTGCCGTTTTTCAGTTTTTTTCAGTCACACCTGTTATCTTTCGTATAGGGACTAGTCCTGCACGGTGCTGGAGGCCTCCACTCCCACTGACTTGAGGGTGTTCAGTAAGCTGGGGAGGTGGTCTCCCTCTCAGTGGTGTGAGCCTCACGGGGGACAGAGCTGATCTACTGGGTGTGGCAGTGTAGTCATCCTAGGAGCTTTAAGAAGGACAAAGCTGGTGTTCAGAGGAAGAGTCCCTGCCAAGCTCACTAATTCCCCGAATGTGAGCACACTGCTGTCTGAGAAGGCAGCTTCTTCTGGGGACCAGTGTGATCACTTTTTGCAGTATTCAGTTGCTCCACAGCAGCCTGAATACCATGGAGGCATCTGCTGTGCTTCTGAGGGATCATGTTGGGTGTGCGAAGGGCACCAGGAAATGCAAGTGCTCTGTTACGTTAGATACTGTTATTTACTGAGTTCAGCAACAGCTCAGTTTTCATCAGTCGTACCTACCTGCACAATGGCAGCTCACTGTAATGTGGCACCCACTGCAGACTAGGTCTGGTTGGAGTCTCTTTATTTTATAAAGTGTAAGAGGAGCTTCAGTATGATCTGGATAGGATTCTGTGTGGCCTTCGTGTTGTAAGTGCAGACAGATCAGTCTTGTGTTGCACTCCAACATTTGTCTGGATTAAGCAGTCCTAGCAATATTGTTCTAATGTGCTCTTCATAATGATATATGAGAACCCAGGGATTTCAGTGCATACCAGATTGTATTCCTGTGTTATAAATGTTGCTTGTGGGTTACATTTCCACTCTGTGTATTAATGTGCTTTAAAAACATATTTGAGATTGTTTTTCTCTTTTCAGAAATCGATGACTCAGGAGAATTGGGCTGATCATGTTGAGGTGAGTGTGAAATGCTTCCTTATTGCTTGTTTAGGGTTTGTTTGTGTGGCCCTCATTTAAAAATATCTCACTCACTGGTGTTACAAGAGTTTTCAAATATGTTACACTATTGCAGCTTTTTAGCTTTGTCTGAACTGCCTGGACATATGTGGAACAATTGTGTGTGTGTGTGTCTGTGCGAAGGGGGAAGGGGCAAAGAGACTCTGTATGTTCCTGTATCGCAGCTTAAAAACTTGCCATTTTTACCTCAGGTACGTAGGTGAGATCACTGTGGTCTTCTCTTGTGAGTCTCTGTACTGACTGCAGGACACACACTGACCACTGCAAATCCTGAGCTTCTCCAATTACAAATATGTATTGGATTATCTAAGTCAACGATCAAGGACCACCATTAAATATGAAAATCATCTTCTGTGTCCTGAGACTTTCCAGCAGTTTACTGTGTGTGTGTAATGTTCTCATGGCTTTGTGTCTCGTGCTGCAGAATAGAGTCATGGTCCATTAGTGTTGTGGTACCATACGTGTGTGTTAGATTAAGGAACAGTTTCGAATTTGAATACTGAATAGGGACAGGAGCGTGGTGCTGCTGCTCCCATGAGCCAATGCCTGGTGCTGGCAGCTCCTCCCGGCTGTGGGAATGCGCAGCCCCCTGCTCTGCCACCAGCACGGCTGCATGCCCCTGGACAGGAGATGCAGTTGGCTGCGAGGCTGGGGGGCAGTGCAGCCACAGTGCTGGGAGTTGCTGCCGGCACCAGGCATTTGCTCCAGCACCATGCCCCGCTTCTTTGGCTGCAGCGCCTCCGGGGAGCAGAGCCCTGCGGATCAGTGGACACCGATGTCTGTCTGTGGGTAGATGTTTGTATCCACGCAGGGGCACCAAAGCCACGCCTGGATGGGACCAGCAAGCCCCTGTGGCCCTGTGAAGAAGGACGGGGTGGGGGTACGTGGCTCCACATGCTGCCCCTCTCTGCCAGCACCATCCCTGTCAGTCTCCTGTTCCCGGCCAATGGGAACTGCAGGGGGTGTTGCTTGCAGCCAGGAGCAGTCTGCTCTCCCCTTCCCCCGGGCTCTCCACACACAGGGCTGCGCTGGCTGCTCCTGGGATGGGGAGACTCACCAGGCTCAACCAGTCGATCACAATTGGCCAGTTGGTTACCACTGCCCTAGTGGAATCCCCTGGTCTGGAAAGAACATCCCTGCACACTCTGTATGCGGGCCAGTATTCCTGAAGGTGTGTGCATCGTGCACCTTCCCTGCCCATCCTGGATTGATGTTAGTGCAATGACTCCAATGAGCCACCAGCACTTGTAGTACCATAGAGAAGCATCCCTTGTTGTTGATGTACTCTGTTTCAAAATGGCCTGGCACCAAAATTGAGATGGGTGCAATCTGTCCCCTGGTGCTTCAAAGCCATCTGCTATTTCCTGCATGTTGCCCAAAGTCACAGTCCTTTGTTGCAGGTGATTAATGGCCTGGCACACTTGCATCACCGCAACCCCCCCAGGGTACTTCCCAATTCCAAGTTTGGAGTGGCCAGCTTCCACACTGTGATTTCCACTTGCTTTTCTGCTGCTAGAGCAGCTCTTGTTTCGGTGTCCATGTGCCACAGTGAAAAGTTCTGCAGCCACTGCTTACCAGCCCAGACCTGCATCACCGTCCAATCCCACCAATCAGAGCTTGTTTCCAGAGCCTGACAGCTTTGGTTCAATGCTCACAGCTGCTCCGTGAATGCCAATCTCAACCCTAAATTGTTTCTGTCCATGGCACTTAACTGGGCAGGCACTATGGCTTTCTGTTCCGATTTGCAGCTCGTGAAGTACTGCAGGGTCAGCCACGCTGATTTCCTGACGCTTCTCACCTGCCTCCTGAGCAATGCAGGCAGAGAAGGTGGGTTCATAGTTTACAGGTGTAGTGGGAAAATGGCATGAAACGTAGTCAGATGCCCTTGGAATTATGGGAAAACTGATCTCACCCTTGTGACTCACTGCAGTTCATTCCCAGAACTCCTAGTGGGAGAAGGTGGCAGAACTACCCACAGTGCACTGCTCACTCTGCCAGCGGTAGCGCACCAATTGGGGACAGGCTGTTCTGACACAGAGCGATGTGTGAATATGCACCAGTGATGTAATTACAGCAGTTCATGATCCCCAAGCTAGCTTTAGTCAGCTTAACTCTGGAGCGTAGCTATGGCCTCAGTGATGTATCTTGTAAAGCCCCAAGTCCACGAGGTACGTTAGCCTGCACCCAATTTTAAGCCTGTCAATGTTCCTCTTACCTCAAAGGGCCAGTGCACGTGCAGAAGCAGCTTGCTGAAGCTGAGCCACGAGCTGGTAATTGGCATCTTTGGAAAACCCTCTGCATCCACATTTGTGTTTGAAATGAAGGTGCCATCAGTGATGCTTGTCAAACCCAATGTGATTTAGGTCTTTGTTCCCATTATCTGATATTGACAAACAGAAAATTCTTGGCAGAAAATGGCAAACTCCCTGAGCCAGTGGATGGAGAACGCGTGTTCCTGTGCAGTCTCTTTGGAGGCCTGTCCGTACTCCAAGAGCTGAGATGCCTCCCAGCACCATAGCTGATTCCACCTGTGCACAGAAAAAATTAAATCAGGCTGCACTAAGAGCTGAATTAGCCAGGCCTTTCTCTGTCCTTGTCTAAACTAGAGGCTGTGCAAGTGCTGGACTGTCTGAATCTAGGAGGAAGTGTAGCACTGGGTCCTGCAGCCAATTGATAGCTTTCAGGCAACTAAATAATAATCACATCAGCACTGCATAACCCTGCCCGTTAGCCATAAGAGTCAGGGCTGATATCAGCAATTACTGTCTTTGGCATCACATTAAAGAAGCTTGAGTATGTACCCATACTTCAGAAGGGAAACCCAAATAATCCAGCATGTAGCTCTGCTTCTGCTTCACAGTGTCAACAAGGCAGCTGCCTGAAACAAAGGAAAGGTCAAAGCAGCACCGTGTTCCGTGATGCTTTAGAAATGCTATTGTCCGCGCTGTTGTGCTCAGGAGATTTTTCAGCACAAACTCTAGAGTTGTCACAGTCTCCTTCTGAAAACGGGGCTTTCAGCTCAGTGCATTTGCTCACAGAAAGTATCTGCTTTCCCTGGAAATTGTTGACGTTTTGTTGAAAAAACAACATACACAGAGTCAGCATTTTAGCTGAAAATGTAAGTGTGGGAACACCACTCCTGTGCTCCGTGGGCGTTGTCCCCATGGGCCAGGCTCCACAACGGATTCTCTCTCGTGATGTGCTGAGAAGTGTGGCAAGGAGGCAGATTGGCATTTTGGACAGTACAGTCCAGACAGAGCCTGGAGGTGGATATGGGCAGGAGGCATCTGAACTGTGACTCCGAGAGGCACAGCAGCAACTTTCCAGATGAACGTTTTCAATTTTCAACTCAAATTTTTTCATTTTCATTTTTTGTTGAACGTTCCTATGAGGTCAAAGCTCATTTTTAGCAGTTCAGTGCAACAGCTGTGATCTAAACTGAGCGGCAGAACCTTGGAGGTCCATGTCCTCATGTTGCTAGCAGGATGTCTGTTTGTGTGGCCAGGTGATAGAGCCTTTCTCTGCTGAACGATTGCATTAGGTTCATGGCCAGCAAAAAGGCATGTTGGAGCTTTGTGTGCCTGCCCTGCTGGATAAATCAAATATGTGACATTTGCAGCCTCTACGGGCCTGTACGCAGAAATTTCTGTGGACGGTGCTTTTTGTGTAAGTGTGGACTGCATGGGTGTGAATGCACCCCCATGGCCCCGGGTAAGGGGGGAGTCAGCCCCAGCCTTCCCGACATGGGAGAGGGTGGCTCGGGCAGTGCACCACTCCTGCTTTTCCCTGGCCAGTTGGAGCTTGCTAACTTGGCGACCAGGAGGGGGTGCGTTTGCACCCTTCACACCCCCCTGCATATGGGCCTGCCCTGCCTACACCAAGGAACCTCTGGTTAATTGGGAAGAGCAGATGTATCCTCCCTTCTCTTCCCATGCATAGGTGCCTGACGGGTGTAGGGAGGGGGAGGAAGTGATGCTCTTGGTCAAGAGAAGCATCAGCTGCATAGCTGTGCATCAGCTTGTCATCCAGATTCACAAGTAGCCTGGGAAAACACAGGAGAGAAAAGTTGTTCCCTGTCTTTACAAATAGATGGGAAGACGTGCAGAAAAAACCACAACCGAGTCCAGTTGCTTGCCTCCCCCTCCCCCTGTGAACAAGGAACGAGCAGGGAACGATAATCTGTTCAACATGCATTATGCATCAGAGTTGTCTCATGGGCCCACAGGGCACTGGGTGGACCAGTTGGTTGATTGTAGGTGAGCCACAGCCATGGACTCTCTTGAGCCTGAGGTTTCTCACCCAGCAGGAGTGTCCCAGAAACATGCCATGGAAAATGACTTTGCTGAGCTCAGGAAACACAGACTGTATTTTTCAGCAATTTTACATCAAACCTGCTAGCCCTGGTCTAGAGCGGAAGGCGCAACAGTGGGCTGTGTTGGAAGGGTCGCTGATCATGGGGATGAGCATTTCATTGTGACGCTCAGAATCGGGGAGGTTCTTGCTCTCGCACTCTCCAAGGCCCATGTAGGTCCATTATAGTAGAAGTGCTAATCATAACTAATGAAGCTTGACCAAGGTCACCCAAACCTCTTCAAACCTGGCTCAGCTCCATTGAACTAAGTAGAATGGTGCCTGATTACACCGGCTGTGAATTTGGCCAGCAGATGTTTGAGGCCTGGCTCTGCCTATTGCTCCATAATTTTGTTATGAGGACGTTGGACTCAGAAAGTTAAGCAGTTTTAAGCATATGGAAAGTGAAGGGGGAAGAAGAAAAACCCTATTGCATGTTGAAACCCCAATCATAGAATCATAGAACCGTATTGCTGGAAGAAACCTCAGAAGGTCATCAAGTCCAGCCCCCTGCTCTAGGCAGGACCAATCCCAACTAAATCAACCCAGCCAGGGCTTTGTCAAGCTGAGACTTAAACACCTCTAGGGAT